GTGAGGAGTTGTAAAGCTTGATGGCTTGAGCAACAAGCAAGAGTTCAGAAGTCTGTTGGTCCTGCATTTGGGGAGGAGCAATCTCCCACTGAACAGGGTCCTTTGAGTGGTGAAGACAGTGTACAGAGAGTGGCTGGCATTGTCCATAATGTCCAGCAGTTTGTTTAGTGTCTTTGTCTCTGCCTGCGTCCCCAGAGACTCCAGCTTCTTGCCAATCACAAAGGTGGCTCGCCTAACCAGTTTGTGCAGTCTGGAGGTGTCCTTCTTGGATGTGCTGCTCCCCCAGCACACCACGGTGTAGAAGACGACACTTCTTACCACACATAATGTGTTAAGGGAAGAATGAACATGGCCATGTATGGTGAGACTTTAAGTTAAAACCTCCTTCCATCAGTGAGAGCGTTGGAGATGGAACGTGGCTGGGTCTTCCAGCACACACCAAAGGGGCAAGGAAGGGGTGACTCCATTAAAGGAATTCAAGGCCCTAGAGTGGCCTTGCCTTGTTCCAGACCTCAAACTCAAAGAACATTTATACAAGGGGTTGAAAGTCTGTGTTGCCAGTCAACAGCCCAAGAACATTACTGCTCTAGAGGAGACCTGCTTGGAGGAACTGACCAAGTACCAGCTACTGAGAGTAAACCTGAGTAAGACTTGTCCCTGCCAACAAGGGTTTGGCAACATAGTATTAGAAGTAACTTTTTATATTACGAAATACTTTCAGCAATACAAGTTCTTTAAAAATACTACAACCCAGTTTTCCAGATTATTTTTATCTGATTTTGTCATAGTTAAAGTATACCTAAGATGGAAATTATAGAATTCTGATCCTTCAAAGTAAGTAAATTTGTTAACAACTTGTTAGTTGTTAACAAGAATTTTCCCTACTGTAGACGCAAATCCCAAAAGGCTTTAATTGCAGCAAAAGGTCTTGAAGTGAGACTGAATACAGATGCAAGCATACATAATCCATTTACTTAAGCTGGTGAATTCTGAAGTAAACTAGCTGCCCTGGATTTTATTTAAGCGTGTTGAGTAAACAATGATTGCTAAATGGACATGGAAACCAGATCTTGAAGTTTTTTGTTTCGTTTAAGATCTTGAACAGTCTGGACTGCTTTTTGCTGGTATGTCACATAAACCTATTAAACTGCATTAATGTTTATTACTAATGCATCAAAAAATGCAGCTGACTTGAAGGGGCATTGATATTTTAAGGCTTTGCATATGCAAATTTATAAGTTTACCATTGAAACACAGGAGAAGCATACTGTGAAAGAAATACATAATGCACCTGCTACAAGTGCATGTCAATCATTTGCTGGAACAATGACTCACTCCCTTCTGGGATAAGGCTAAGTGAAGTGATTAGCAACTTTACGACCATGACGTGTGCTTGAAGGCATCAGCTTCTCAAAACCCACAAAAGACCAGCTGTAAGATTAGGTTGCCTCAAATCAACAGAACTCGAGTTAGCTGGTTCTCATGCTGAGCTGGTTTCACAGGAAAGGTGCCGCTACATGCTGAGCTGCGAGAGGCGAGAACTGCGTTGCTGGCAACAGATCTGAAAAGCCAATCTAATGACCAGTCACCTGCATTTAGGGAGAAAAAAAAACAGACACCCACGCCCGCTTCCTTGCTCCTCAGGGGCATCTGGAAGCACAAGCTGCACCAGACATCAAACACGGGTAATGAGAGCAATTGGGAGAGGGTGTGTCCAGGAAGTGAGGGGTGTGAAGAGGTTGTAGAGCAAGAACGCTTGTGAAGTAGTCGAGAGGGGATAAGGGTTCTAAAAGCACTGCAAAATGAAGACGGCAGGAAAGTTTTGGCAAGTTAGGTCACAAATCGGCCAAAGACTCCGAAAGTTGGGAAAATAAAGGTGTGCAAAGTTAGCTTCCCTCACCTCTATGGCAGGAATCTCACTTTGGCCTCAGGGGTTTAGTAACAGTGTGCCTGAGCATTTATCATGACAACAAACCCAAAATCATCTTGCACAAACTCTGAAAACACATCAGTTTCTTTTTGTGCAACAAGTGTGCATGCAAGCTAAAGATGTTGCATATTTCTTCTTAGGTGCCTTATCAAAGACACAGCTATGTGTTATGATGTGTTATGTGTTGGCATCGGCATGGCAACGCATAACATTTTATCTAAACAGTCTCTGTCCAAGTCTTTTTTTCTCCCTCCACTGTAACATGACTGGTGAAATGTTTAAACAAGCAGGAAAATCTTAATTTGTTTTTGCTGATGTGCATGTGAGCTGAAGAGGGGTAAAGAGCATGAAAGGTGGCTGCGACCCAACACAGCGGGGTCAAGCCAAGGGGTCACAGGTTTAAATCTTGCCCGGGGAAACTAACTTGTTTAGAGGTCATGTGTGTTTGCTCAAACAGAGACAAAGTTCAAGCTTTTTGTTTGAAGAAGAGGGTGTCTGAGACATTCTATCCAAGAAATTAACTATCAGGTTGAACTAATTGCAACGTGCATTTATCACATTCCTCTCTTTTGGAATGGAAAGGCCAGCCAAGTTTTCTTTTCTTTTTCTTTTTTTGTTGCACTCTGCATTCTTTAAAACTTGAATCTGAGTAATTTTTAACCCAATAATGCAAACATTAAATTTTTATTTTTACCATAAATGATTTTGTGGAAAAAAGGGCCCTGATGCATTTATATGCACAAAATTACACCTGTAAAGAAGACCTAGTAAAATATATTAAATATGACATACTGTTTTTCTTTAATTCTGAAATACTTTGAAACTAGGGGTGTTATTGGAAGACAGGGTAAGACCTGTAATACTGTAATATGTACATTTTAATGGAAAAAAAATCAAGATCAGTGTAATAACAACAAATGCTCGCTTACCCTAATATGTTAGAAAAAAAAACCTTAGAGGACCAATGCTGAAACAGACATGTTTTACTTTCTTAGATTATTAACTGTACTTTTTAACTTTTCAAAATGCTTTTAAACTTTTTCGCTTTATTAACTTTTAAAATTTTCAATTAGTTTTTTCACTTTTTTATTTAGCTTTATATCTTTCTAACCTAACGTAACCTTTTCAACTTAATTCACAGCAGGTAACATATTATACAAGGGCTCATTTAATTGGTCAAATTCCAAAATGACTATAAAAGTCTTGCGCTTCCAGACCTCACTGAGGGACGTGGGGGACTCCATTTTTAAGGGGTACGGCAAAAGAAAATGCAGCATCAAAAAACATCCAACTGTGTTTGAAAGCCAACTCCTTGCTCTTTCCTCCAGTGTTGGTGTTTTATGGTGAAGATGTACCATCTTCCAATATACAAGATAATTCAGTCTGATTAAAATCCCACATTATCCCGAGCAGCTTCACATAGGTATAGTAGAATGACTGGACATCAGTTGTTTGACATGAACTTAGTGATTTTGGAGTTCTTTGGTTGATGGCGATGTCTAGGAAGTCTGGGAGTAGACATTAGCCCCCTCGAATGTTAAATGAGGAAAATGACATAGGGTAGAATGGCTAGTTGTAGAGAGGAGCAGCAGTGGGTGAGGATGCCCCCCCACATTCCTGAGTTTTGTATAGAAACACTTAGCCAGCATGTGGTGAAATAAAAGTCAATAACTTTGCTATCGGTGTACAATAAACTTGCAGGCACATAAAGCCACTTTCATGTAACAAGGTATGCGTAGGGTATTTATTTCAACTGCTATTAAAACCTTACTTTATGCAGTACAGTCAAAAACTGCTAGATGCGCAAAGGCGCAACAATCTTGTGCTTATAGTACTTTCTATTTTTTTTTTTACGGAATTGTCTTCATACTGAAGACTGTAAAAGCTAAACAAAAAAAAAACAATGAACATTTTATTTTGAGTGAATCCTGTATGATGGTTCCAGGTTTCAATTTATCGTACTACTGAATTGGTGCATTTACGATTACTGCTTCATTAGAGACCAAAAAACACGCAAGAAACAAGAAAGGTTCCAGTTTTTAACTGCTTTCCTATTTCAAGCATTACACATTTATTTAAAAATGTAATGTAAAATAGATTATACAGACAGGGTAGTTTCGTATATGAAAGCCAAATCGATATCTCTTGTAATTAGTATTTTTTTTTTTAGTGCTAAAGAAAAATAGGTTTTTATTCATAGGTAAATTATTAATTTTACAGCCAGGAAGGGTTACCCTACATGTTAGACTGACTTGGCCCAACAACACAGCGTGTGTGGTGCAAAGTAGGACTGAAACTACTGAATGTGACATGCAGCCAAATAAGGAGTTTGTGAAGGAAAACATGCAACTTATTCTACTTGCTTTACTTTTTATTCGACTTCAACAAAAAAGTTGCAAAGCTATTCAATTTGCATTAAGGGTTTTCTCAGTTTTAAAATTATTACCATTGCGATAGTAATCCTACTAGAGCTGCAAATATGGGCACAAAAAATGGTTTCTGTAAAGCATGATTTCAATATTCATCACAAAATGCTATTTAGTCACAACTATATTCTTCTAAATATTGAATCATTTAACTAGGTATACTCTTTGTCTCACTGAATTTAAAAGTGTTTATTATTTTTTGTACCTTTCATAAAATATTGAAAGTTTTTTATTGCTAAAATCTAGATCACATCATAATATCCCAAATTTACACAACAGGGTGGTGGGCCTATCTGAAAGAAATGAAAGGGCTTATTTTTAATCAACTCTATTGCCTTGATATAACGCTGATGCCTTTTATTCAGGAAACAGGTGTGGTCTGATCAAACACCAGTAGATCTTAAGCTAATCCTAGTGTAAACCACTGAAATGCTAAGCTGGTGTTTTAAATGTCTCCTTTAAATAAACTCAAGAATACAAAAATTTGTTTTCCTGTTTTTTCTTCCAAGCATAGATCATTGTTTGTTCCTATACTGTAACAAACGTTCAATTACATACAACAAAAATGTCAAATACAGTAACTAAATTGTTTGCAGCCAAAATTAAAGAAAGAGAAAATAAAAGACAATGGAGCTTTTTCATACCTTATTCTGGGGTTTTGCTGCAGATGCGGAGGATTTTTCTGCAGGTCCATTTTGCTTCACAGGCATCTTGTTGGATTTTTTAGGCGTAGACTCTGGACTCTAGAAAAACAAACATCTCAAGTAACACATCTTGCAGACATCTTGGATCTTAAACCTGCTAACGTTTGCCAACGCTTTCCCCAAATGACCATGATGAAAAAAAAACAGATATGAAAGGCGATGTTACGAGGAAAAACTGGACGCTGAGGCTGTAATCTCGAACAGTAGCTGTCTTTTTTTTTTTTATAACGGTCAGAAGTACTTTACCTTCTACATTATCTACCATTCCTCCTTACATATCATTGCATGATTTAACTGAATTATACAGACTGATTATAAACATTCTTAAGGCAAACAACATAAATTGGCATGTAAGCAAATATAAAGGCTTGTTTGCATTTGCTAATCTTGCACTTTTGTCAGGACCTAAGTACTGCATTTTCCCTCATTCCTTCCTTGAAAGATCACACTCACGTCAAATCTGTAGATTTAAACATTCCACAAATAAACTTTCAGACAGGAGCTCAGTTAGTAGCTATGCAGAAAATTTGCGAAAGCAGATTAAAACAGAACAGATAACACTTTGTATGCTCTCTGTGATCAGCTACTTAGTAACTCAATAACCCATCATTGTTCTCGGCTATACAGGCCTTCCAGTCAGGTTTACACTGCTGTGTAATTACCTTGTAACAGCCAAGGCAAGTACCTGCATTTCCTAAGCACCAACCGCTGTCTGCCAATTACATGTGTTCACCTCAGAGCAGACTAGTGTAATTCCCTGCAATGACTGATTTGCTAGGAGGCAACAAAAATATTTAAAGGGCAGAATCTCACGCTGGAATTGGCTAAATGAAGAACTTATTTCTATTAATTTTTTACATTCAAGTTTAGATATTTGCAGCAAATGGAGAGAAGAATATTGTCTAGATGGCTGGTTAGTTATCTGTAATCTCAGAGCAACCAAAAAGGGCACAAGCTGCAGGTTAGGCCAGAAACAAAATAATCTAATTAATAGTGTTTAACTGGTTATTTAAATAATCGTCCACTAATTTAGTAGTCCATAAAACATTAAGGGTAGTATACAGACTTTAACACATGCCATTAGCTAAAAGAGAAATCCACCCACAGCAGAAATTATGCCAATATTGTAAAAAAAAAATAATATAAAGATTTGTCATTTTAGATGAAAATAAAAATGTCTGAGTATGTTCCTCCCTGTACGCAATAGGGGTGGAACGATTCACAAAATCCACGGTTCGGTTCGATTCATGGTTTCTGGTCACGGTTTTCGGTTCGATTCGATACATGTTGATTGTTACACCGAAATTCCATAAAAAATTATGAAATTAATGAAAAAATCCCCCCAAAAATAATGGATTTTAATTATTTTAAATGATCCGCGGAAACCCTGGATCATTTCCGTATGTTTTGCTGCTTTTAATTTAATCATCTGGCGCATGCTCCTTAACCTGACAACAGCCAGATGCATGCATCTGGCTGTTGTCAGGTTACATGCTCTCTACCATCTCCAAGGAACTCAGAGGGGAGCGGACAAAGCCACAGTGGAGGCTGTAGGCTTTGCTTTGAGCAGCCGGTCTGGAGCGCAGCGGGGCGGAGCAGTGGTTGCTGACGGAGTATGAGGGATTTCGGGGTTAGCATGACATGTTGCTGTTAGCATAAACAAAACATGTTGCACAATGCTTGCACACTGTTGCACTTTTATCCACAACTTTCTTTCCGCCGTCATCGTAGGTCACTCTAAATGCAAAGTGCTCCCATACAGCAGACCTATAAAGTGCTGCTGGCGCGTCTTCCAACTCCAGTTCTTTCCCACTCGCCAGTCCGACACAATTCTCCACAACAACTGATTTTTTTCCCTGCTACACCCGGCTAAGCTGCTTTGCTTCTTCTTCTTCTTGTTTACTACTGGCGGTTGGCTTTGGTCGCAGTACCGCCACCTTCTGCTCTGGAGTGTAATCGCTTCCTCTATGAGAAAAAGGAGCAGCGCATGAACCGAACGAAACACACGCGAACCGAACCGAGACAGTCGAACCAAACGATTCTGACGGTTTTCATAAATTGTCTCATCCCTAGTACGCAAGTGTCATAGTTGTAGTTCCACCCGGTTTAAATTGGATTAAAGCATTGTTTGCTATCCGATTATTAATCCATGAGTTGAAAAAATAAGCTAGAGATTAATCAATTAGCAATTAGGCTGATCTTTTAGTTTTTGCAAATGGATCTAGGTCTGGGTGATATGGCGTAAAAATAAAATCTTTCTTTTTAATACAAAATCTGATTAATTGTTCCTTTCTTCTCCATTTATTTTCATGATGACCAAAGTCATTAATTACCTTAAAAAAATGTTTTTCTTCTTATCATCCCTTCTGGGCGTTAACCTGAATATTGAATACAAGCTGAAACATGTTTTATTTGTACACGTTCAACCTCATTCAGTCAGAGGACAGATCCAGTGCAACTAATTGAGAAGTCAGCTAATTAGTAATAAGAGTTTGTCTCTTAGGGTGATGAAAATGAGACACATGAGCACTACATCTGCAGCTCTTATCCCTCTACCAAATATTCTGGCCATAACGGTGGTGTGTATAGCACCCTTATTGATTCCAACACCACACTACATGAGGAAGTAGAAAACACAGCTTTCCAACTTTTTTAAAGCTTCCCTGTGTCATCCAAGAGTGACAGTAATTTCACAATCTGTTAATCGTAGTAATGTTTATTGGCTGAATTACAAAATGTTGCTTGATATTTACTTTTGCCATCACTCAGCAGTAGGAGCTGATGTTCATTCACCGTGTTTTTCCTGTTGATCTGTTAAGGTTTTAGATGTTTATTAGAGAACGTAGGCAAACATTTCAAAGTGTGGATAGGTAAAAAAACACAAAAAAAAACACTCAATCTCTAACAAAGCTGTTTTCAATCTATCATCAGAATAATGAAGAAGATATGACAAACCTGTTAACCTATTAAAAAACATTTTCCCATATAAACAAATGATTCAAGATCAGCATTCAATCCAGAAATGGAGAAGAGGCCCATGCTAACTCAAGAGAAGCTAAAGATATTCGAAGCTTGGGGGAAATCACCTTTAAAAAAAGCTTAATATGAGAAGCCATGTTTGAAGTACGCCTTTCACATTTCCTGGTCAAGGTACACAATACTCAATGTATCAGAAAACCATCGCTGTACTAGGCCCTGATATCGACACCAATGGGGAACGTTGTGGTGCTAGAATCAGGCAGTGGGGATGATGGACGGTTAATCTATTAGGGGCTGAAACGCAGAAAGAGAAAACTGAAAACAAGCCAAACCTGGATGAACAATCGTTAAAGGCGGCATTAGCCTTGAGACTATGGCAGAGGTTCCCCTGTAAGCAAGAAAAGGGAGCTAAACATGCAAAAGTCCAATGGAATGGCCTAGCCAAAGTACAGATTTAAATCCAACTGAAAATCTGAGACTTATTAACTAAGTCCTCTATCCAGTCTGACAAAGCAGGAGCGATTTCAAAAACAGAAACAGGCCAGAAATCTAGTTATTAATTGTGGAAAGATGGTTCAGACACCCATTAAAACCTACAGCTAGAACTGTTGCAAAACTGGGCAGATAAAGTAGGGATTCCACGTTGTAAAAAAAAAATTAAGACAAAACTTTTGTATTGGTTAAAAAAAAAGGTCTTTAGAAACAGTTAGGATAACAATTTAGAATGGTAATTTAGGTCTTATCATTCGATATAACTAAAACCCACATAGCATCCAAAACAGCAGCAGATCTTATCTAAAAGGATGGAATAATAACTTCAAATGAAAAATCAGTACCAATTATAATTCGTTTAAGTATTTCTAAAAAAACATTTAGGCTACGTTCACTCTACAGGTCTAAATGCTCAATTCCTTAATTTTTTGTCAGTTCCAACTTTTTTTGGAGTGGCTGTTCACAAGACCGTCTCAAATCGTGTCTCTGAAGTGACCCGCATGTGCAGAAGAACAATACAAGACGTGTCAGAAGTCTGTGTCTGAGGATGGATTTAAAGCTGCTAAGCAGAAGAAGTAGCCGGATGACACAGCAGACGAGGAGAAAGAGAGCTGAAGTATTTATTATGGCTTTTGGTGGGGCTGTGAAAGTAACATCTCTGAGGAAAAATAAGTGGCTGCAGCATTGTAGTTAAGTGACCTGTGACGGTATGACCCCCCCTCAAGTTTCTACAATTCAAACTGTACGACAAAACTGCATGGTTTAAAAGTTCACAGCTCACGATGCATGTTCTTACACTGTGCAGCCCAACGCTCTGATGCGACCTTACAATGGCAGACTGAATTTCCATCATGTTTGATTTTCTCCCGACCTTACGATTCCTGATCAGCAAGTGGTCGTGAGAGGCCCCTTATTACCCCCTGCACACAACACAATGCATGATCAGGCTGAAAGTCGCCCGATCGAAAAATTCTCGCAAGACTCAATAATCGGCCCGAAAGGGTCAAAAAAATCGTACAGTGCATGCCCGGCTTAAGCCAATCAGAGACTCTAGTAGCTTCCTTCAAAGCAAATTAAACCAAAACATTTGATCAAAGATATTTAAATAGAAAGAAATCCATTTTTTTAAACAATGCAGAGCTTCTTGATGTCCTTCCTGATACCCAGTTCTGTATATCACTGACTGTGTTGAAGTTTGACAAAAAAAGAAAAACATTTTCACTGAAACAGCTGAACAAAAGAATAATTGCTCCCAGCCTGCTTATTTTGAAGTCATTAATAAAGGGGATGCGGTAACTATGGAGCTAAGGATAGGGGGGGCATTAGGACGTGGATCAGACGACAACAGAACAGATCAACAGGTGACAGAAATGCTCAGCTGTCATCTGACCCTGAGGCAAGGATCGGTGCTCACGTCGCAGGTATGTGCATCTGCCTCGCTTTGATCTTTCGCCTGGCACAGTTTGCACGCGGAAGGCGTGCTTAAGAAAAAAAAAATTACAAACAGACACTGAGGTAAAAACCGAGGCAGATACACACATGCTCCCACACACTTGTAAGCGATTGTGGTAACATGCAAAACAAGCGTTCAAAGGCAAACGCCAGGTGCAAAGCTGAAATGGCATGAGAAAAGATAAAAAGGAGCAATCATATTAACAGTGGGATGACAGAGGGACAAAGATATGCAGTGCCTTAGAAAAAAGGGGTCAGGGATGTTTCCCATAACTGAGCAGTGTGTGTGTTTAAAAGCAAACAGTTTGTGCTTTTCAGCTTAAACTACACGTGTATTCTTGATGTGCATCGGTGCATAAACACACCTTTAAATGCGCGGCTCTATAGTTCGAACCTTTAAGAAAGAAAGGCCGTGTTTGTGTGAGCAGCACAGTGTTGTTGGTGAAGGGTGAGAATCTGTGCAGATTACAGAGGAGAAATCCGATCATTACACCGCACAAACCCTGTATTTTACTCTCTGAAAACAGGTGGGTACGTGAGCGCACAGGATGAAAAAGTTCCAGGTTTTTGTCTGATGCGAAGAGCTGGACGGTCAGCGGGTGCAGGGGAAGGCTGGGCTTTGCTGAAATGAGATGCCGATGCACATAGTCTGTAGAAAAGGCTGAAAGATGTGGAAGAGAAAGGCGGGGAGAGAAAGCAGCACCAGAGAGAAATTCCTTCTACAACAAAATAACTTTGGCCATGCATTTAGCTAGCCTGACACCTACTGGACATTAAAGGAATCACAAAATCCTTCTATGAAGTTTTTAGAGATAGACGCAGACAGACATAGATGGTTACTGCTAAGGGTGTGCAAAATAATCGTCAAATCGATGCATCGTGATTCTAATTTTTGTGATCTACTGAATCGATTCTTGAAGGCAAGAATCGATTATTAAAAAAAAAAAATGAACAAATAAAATACATTACTGGTTGGCGCACATCAATCAAACCAAGTGGAATACAACTTCCAGTCCAGCAGATGTCGCTGCGGATGTGTTGACGCCTGCTGCTTTGTGTCATAAGCATGTCCGGACTGATTATCCTCATTTTGTTATTTTAAGTTTGATGAATCCTAAGATCTTTTTGTCAGTGTGTCCACGCCAGTAATAGTAATATTTCTGTCCAGTATTTGTTTTCATGGCAACACCTCCAAAAGTAATTTCAATAAATACAGCTATGTATGAATTCAGTTGCTTTCAGTTATGTATCAATTGAAGACACTATCCAGATCACACCCAGCCAGTCAGCCACTGGTAAGGGCTGTATCTTTTTCTTACAGTGTTCAGTGAAAATATCCCAATGCATCGCAATATTTCAAGTATCGTGATGCATCGTGATAGAATCGCATCGTGGCATGTGAATCGTGATTCGAATCGAATCGTGACTTCTTTGCCAATACCCACCCCTAGTTACTGCATAAGCTTCCAGATGATACACTGGGAAAACCATCTAGAAATAAGTAAAATGTCTTCAATTAAGTGTATTTATCCTTAATTTGAGTAGGTAAATGAGATAGTTTGCCAATGGAATGAGTATTTTTACTCTTAGATAATTAGATAAAATGCACCAAAATAAGACAATGCAATTGTGTTTCTTTTATTTAAGTGTAAATTGTCTTGTTCCATTGGCAAAATGTCTCGTTTACCTCCTCAATCCGAGGCCAATGCACGTATTTAAAAAAAAAAACTTTTCTCTGGCATTTCTATTTAAAGATGTATAAACAACTGTTGTAATTATGTGAGGTCTTACCAACAAAACGCTTAACATTCACAAATTATCTAGCAAATAAATAAATAAAACAAACCAAATAAAAATGTGATCCAAAACTATTTTGATTTGGACTCAACTTTATTTCTCTTTCAGGGAAATTCTGGTTCAAGTAGCTTATATAGGGTAAAAAGAGTTAAAGCAAGATGCCATTAAAGATTTTAAAAAAATACAGTAGACAATATAAAGAGTGTATATAGTTCATATATATTTATCAAGGTAGTCTAAATGTCTTTATGCTGTATTACATTTTAAAATACAGCATTTTAGGTTCAAGTTCTACAGATGAACAACAGTGTTTGGATACTAAACTAGATTTAACTTGAAAGAGAAAAAAAATGTCTTTCACATTAATCAACTTAATATGATGACTTTTCATTGTGTCTGTGAACATATTTGCTTCACTGTACCATTAAATTGCCCTTAGGGGACCAAAAAATAGTTTAATTGAAATGAATTTACATGAAAGATCTTAGTCTTTCGTTGTTTCTGAAAGATAAGTCAACTTTATTATTTATATTGTTTATTTAGTTAATAGAACACTTATGAAAATGTTCATAATAAAATAATCATACTATTGGGTTTCACATAAACCTTTTAACACAGGGTTGATACAGGAATGAGTAACTCTAATTTAATTTAATGCTCTTTAATGCTATTAGAAATCATTTTGATGCGATCAACAAGTACCCATGACTATATATATATATATATATATATATATATATATATATATATATATATATATAAATTTCCTGTATTTTTAATGTAGATAAAAATCTTCCCTTTCAATGGATTGAATCTGTACTAAAAGGATTGATAAGTTTTTTAGGAGACTTAATTATACGAGAATATTAGTGGATTTATTTGATGGCAGAAAAACAGTCAGGAAAAGCTAAAAATGGCATTAAAATCGGAAAATAAAACCTAGAAATATATATTTTATATCTTTAAACCTAGTATAGCAGCCTACAGCCAAAACAAAGCATTATTTAGGATTGATGCGCTATGTTAGACAAGCATCTTAACAAAGTCCCAGTGCTATGTTTACATCCACATGATTCTCATGGTGATGTACTTTAAATGATCTTTTTGAATGTTCGATTTTTAGAGTCTAAACTATTTTTTAACAAACATTTTAATGAATCTTAAAAACAAGAAGTGAATACAAGGTAAATTTGCTCTTATCGCTAAAATCTTACACATGCCTCTCAAATCCGCTGCTGTAAAAATGTCCAAAAGCTGTATATTGATTACTTATTATTTGGGTAATGGCACAGTATTTATATTTGTAAATACACAGTACAGTACTGTATTTGATTCTGTTTCTTTTTTAACTGCCACTTATTCTGTTATTTTTATAAACCTTTAAGGTCCACATTTGTGTGAACACTTTTGCTGTAATGCTTTAGCTGCTGTAATGCCACAATTTCCCCAGTGTGGGACAATAAAGGGATTTTCTTTTCTATTCCATTCTACATATCTAATTCAATATAACATCTAATGAAGTTCCTAAAAGCTGGTTAAACGTCTGGGATGGTTCTGGGTGAATATTTGTCGTTTTTCCAGAAAGAAGTGGTAAGTTTCCTAGTTTTAAAAATATATTCCTCACATTTTCAAAAAGTTAAAGTCAGTACTTGAGGCAGATCTTTTTTAATTTAACCATTTCAAAATCAGTATTAATGTGCATTAGAGATCGTTGTCCTGTTTTTTGTTTATTTATTTATTTATTTTTTTTGGGGGGGGGGTGGGGGGTGGGGGTGGGTGGGGGGGTTGTATCCATAAACTTTACCCTCTCCCTTACAAAGAAGATCAGAAAAAAAATCCTGGATCCATAAAGTCTTAATCTTGGTATGAACTTGAAAAAGCTGAAAAATGTCCGTCACTCTCCAAAGCAATGTTTTTGGGGTTTTTTTAAGGACACACAAGAGAAGCATGAGCTTATCCGACATGAAAGAAAACACGTATGTTCAATGATTCATGTTAAAGCCTTTAAGCCTGAGAACCGAGCATTATGTAAACATCATACGTAACTAGTAGGTCTAAACGAATTTCCAATCAGCAAACAAAGGGTTTAAATTCCAGCAAATGTAGTTCTTCCAAAAGGGCAATGACCCCAAACTCATTGCTGCCAGCAATTCTACTCCAATCCTGCCAAGACGAATAGTTAAGTCTCCATCCAGAAGCTTCTAGATGGCTACATGGAGATGTGGTTAGGTGAAAAGTGCTTAAGGACAGTAAACTAAATATTAGTGCATTTATGTTGCAGTGTTTGTATAATGACCCTGTTTAGAGTACAGAAAATATAAACGACAATTAAACTATACATATTTGTTTTCTGCTTTAATGTGCAAGATTATTGCTGCACCCTGTAGGAAGAAAGTTTAATATAAATGATAAAGAGAAACTGATGTGATACCAATGCCAAAGTTGGGCATTTACAAACATCAAGCTGCGCTGGAATAAAAAGGCGTGCTGACTTATTCCATGCTTCATATCAGCTTGATAATCTCCTTTATTCTCATCAGAGGATTAAAAAATAGTTGAATATTTTCACAGGTTCCACTTTAATGAGTTTTGAAAGTTGTACAAAACTTTTTTGTCTCTATGAGAAAAATGAAAACAGACCCGACTTACTTTTTTGAAAGCTTTTGCCAGGTTCTTTTGAGGCTTCACATCCTCTTCATCGCTCTCATCATCACTAGAAGGAAAGAAAGAAGACATCTCAGTTCACCTGACAGCTCAATCTGAAGAGGTTTTTACTTTTCAAATAAATGTTTATTTAAACAAAAGAAAATCATACTCGTCATCATCTTCATCACTGTCCTCTTCCTCATCATCCTCATCGTCGTCATCAGAATCCATTTTTATTTTTTTCTGCCAAAAATACGACACTAATTAGGACAAGGCATTTCTAATTCTAATCTACATTTGCATATCAGGTTATAAACCTCATCAGTGGTCATTTTTTATTTTATTAAATTTAGTAATGTGACTAATTGGCATTTTGCGTTTACACCCTTTACAGAAAAAAAACTTTCAAAGAGAGCTGGGAGACTTTTGCTGCTCAGCTAATAGAAGAGCTGCAGGCAAAAGAAAAAGAAAGAAATAAAGAATGATGACCACCTGCGGAGGCTTCTTTACTAAGGAAAGGCTTGCAGGCCGTTTTACAGGAGACGTGTTGTTTTCTTCCTCTTCATCGTCAGAATCTTTTACACCTAAATAAAAAAATACTATTAAGAACAGTTGAATCAACACAGCAATAAATATTTACTTACACATCCATTGCATAAAATACTAAGTAAAGCATGAAATTGTTTTCCAGACTAACACAAGGAGTCCTTAAATTCCTGAAAAGGACAAACTGTTCACAACAACACTCTTATTAAAGCATCTGGTTGTTCTAGTCTTGGCTATGATGTGGCCTTTGTTAAAGAAGTTATCCTAACACCTGGAAACCGATTTACATTTGCATTAACATTAGGGTTTCTGTGATATTACTTACTGACAAAATGCTGTCCACTGATGTGAACCGGACCAGAACCAGAAACAAGACGGAAGGTAACGGGAGGAGAAATCTCAAATCCACCTAAATTCATCTGGATAAACAAAAGCCACCATTAAAAAATAGCTAAATGTCCATTTATTTGCTACAGTATTTATTTGCTTTCATTTCCTTCGTATTCTTGCAGGTCTAAACAGAATAAAACAGATGAATGTGTAGTTTTCTTTTTTTTTTTTTAGTTCTTATAGATGTTGACTCACAGACGGCAAGACAGACGGTTTCAGGACCGCTATGGGCGCTTTGACGATTTTTGCATCGTATGCAAGCCCTTCCACTTCCACCATATGGAACTTGTCCTCCGCCTCGGCTCCCAGACACACCTGGAACAGCAGAGATTTATTGTCTCCTCAGCAGAGATCAGTCCACAAATAAATTTGTCTGTCAAGGTTAAGGTCCACTACACTAAGTTTTATTTGAGTCAACCACTGACCAGATTTTTGCAGAAATTTTGCAGAAAAGAAAGCACTAGATCTATCAAATTTTCTTTTAAGAATACCTATGGCTGCAGTTAAAAACACTATATAGGAAGAAGGAACATTTGTCTTGTTATGCTTTGTTTGGTTGGTTTAATTGTTTAATGGAAAAAAAAAAACATTACATCAAGCCTAAATAGATTTTTTGCTGGTGTTAATTACTGTGAATTTTCATACTAAGAAATTTTATTATTACCTAAATTGATCATTGTGGCAAAAGTTCAAGTATATGAGCTGATGAAAGCTGCAGCAGTATTTACAGAAGGCTACTAAATGCTGTCCCTAACACATATATGTCAAAGAGAAAATGTGTTACTGTGTTTTTTACTGTGTAAGAAAACATAGGCACTGCCCTCCCATTCTGATATGGTACTGAGATTTATTCTCACCATCTAAATATTGAAAGGTGGTTTGAAAAATCTGTGTTTGACGTATCACAAATGTTATGTAAGTAAAGAGCATCTCCTATCCTAATTCTTACCCATAGCTCTGTACCCCTCTACTTCTCTTTCTGTACTTCCCTCTCTCTCTTTGCTGGATTTCCCTCTAGAGAACTTATCGTCATACTGATGATAACTTTAACATTGTGTCTACTTTGTAAGTCGCTTTGGATAAAAGCCTCTGCTAAATGCATAAACATGTATGTATGTATGTATTCAATTATTTTGTTCCTGTTAACTTATATCTGTCCTTTGGTGGGAATAAAACATAGGATGAAGATCTTTTCCAATAAATTATTTTAATATCATTCCTTGAAATATATAAATGTCAACTAATGTAATAAATAAAATGACAGTATGCAAATATATCTACAATTCTTTCACAATACAGGTGTAATGTATATACATTTTACAAAATGTAGGGTAACTTTTAGGCTAATTAAAACTACATGTCAATTAAATGACATTTAAACTTCTGACAATAAAAGGCAGATTGTTACAAAAGAAAAATCAATTATTTACTTATTTTTTAACAGCAGTTCTTTTACAGTGAAAATTCTATTGGAGGTATACGACAGTTAGAGATTTAAAATCCTGCTACAGTTTAATTTATAGTTTAGATGCATAAGCTCAGAATCATTTAAGGGGCATTTAAAGGATAAAACATGTATGGCAGGCTATTTTGACATTTATTAGCTTGACTGAATATATATTCCAGATGTCTCAAATACATTTCTTCCTAGTCAAAATGAACATTTCATATATCTAAAATAACATTCCTCCTATCTAAAATACACATTTCCGATATCTGAAATGTAATTCTTGCTAGTACAAATGACCTCACGTTTCCAATTCATGTGCATTGGGCTTTTACTTGGAGATATCTAAAAAAAACATTCTTCCTATCTAAAATGAATTGTGACTAAGATGAACTCGAATTTCAGATCTCCACAATATAGTTACTGGCAGTCATAATTACTATTTAGGATATCAAAAATGAATATAACATTACAGATATCTAGAAATACAATTCTTGACATCTAAAATATATTTCTGTTGGTACAAATATAATCACAGATATCAAGTACTTATTTATAGACTAGTTAAATTAGAATTACATATATTTTATTTTTTTAAAATTCCTATTTAAAATTTAGTTTAGACATGATATAATGTATAATAACACAATAATAACGTCTAAATGTCTTACTGCTTTGAGGGACAGTTGTTGTTCTGTATCTTCGTCATCTAGGTCAACTTTGAATTCCCGTTTATCCGACCTCAGAGTACAACCTAGGAAGGGGAAAAACTTGTAATTACCATGATTGTTAGAGCTGCATTTATAAAGCATGCACAGTAGAAAATACATTATCAGCTATTGGAAGTGTTTCTACTCTAGCAGCCCTGCAGAGCTAGCTAACAAAGAGCTGATTGGCGCGAGTAGGGAAACCAGAGTAGCGACTTATTGCGGTAACTTTAAGCTTCCATTCTCGTTTAAACGCCATTTATAATGATTAATATGTTACTAAATTTGACTTTGCGTCCTATAAAAATAATATTTATCATAGGGGAATAAGCTCACCAAATAAATACATCTGAGGTCTGCTAAAATCTGACATATCGTCCTCCATCTTTGCAGTGGGCGGAGTAACAAACTAAACTGTGACGGACAGCTTAGGGAGCCAATAGGGAAGCAGAACGTGGGACGTATGGCGGAAAATAGCAGCCAATTGGAGCGAAGAAGGGGCGGGACATGTGGAAAATCAGCGCGAGGACTCGTCAAAACAGCAGATGGGGCTATCGTTGCACATATTGGAGAGCGATAAGACGCATGGCGATTCCCATTGTGATATTAAACGAGACTTTACGTTATGTTTACCTGGTGTATAGTTAGGGAATTTTATAAAAAAAAATAAAGCTAGTGGATAATTGGGGTAGAAAATAAGGGGTGAGAAGTTTATAACGGTTAATGGCCATTATGTGTACCAGGTTTATTACCTGAAACATTCCTTAGTGCTTACTGTGTGCCAAGTCCAGTGCTAGAAATTATGCAAGATCAACTTGATAGTGCAAAAAAAAGTATTTAATGCCATTCAAATTTTGCTGAAATATTTCATAGTTGCACCTAAATAATGAGTTAACATTTTGAGTTTTCATCAAGTTTTAATGAGCAACGTAACAAAAAATGCTGTTTAAAATAACTTTTTTTGCCAAGTTATTTGAGTGTTAATTAGATACTTGAACTTTTTTCTATATTTTTATCAACTAAGACTTTTGTATTTATTTCCAACAGTTATGCCACTTCTTAAGTTTTGCACAAACGACGTCACACTAAGCTCAATACCATATTCTTCAACATTTCAGTCACTATCCTTAAGCCAATATATTTTTTTCTTTAACCAAATGAGATTCCAGTTTCTACATAATAGTTTTTCTACTGTTTCTAATTGATTAGATCTCAGCAGGTTTTATATTTTCAACTTGGCAGGATTCTTTCCATCTTTCCAGTCATTAAGCTTTTTCTGTTTCTTACCAATTCATCACATTTCAGCCATGTGTCTGGTGGTGATATCAGCTTGCTTCTGCTACTATTCAGGCAGTGGTGCCTCCAGAAGTGTTTCAAAGGGGTGGCCAGATGGGGCCACTAAAAATCTTGGGGTGGCACACTGAAACTAAAAGCAATAATTTCAAGGTTTGAATCTATTATTGTGGTAAATCTGCCTGTAGAAACCCTAAACACCTACTCATATCTTGGTTTATTGTGTGATTGTTAATGTTACATAACTGGCGATGCATAATGGGATGAAATGCTAAACTGATGATGGTAGTACCCTGAGATTGGCGAGTGGGCTGTGGCCACACCTTGCAACCCCCTGGTGGCACCACTAGTTTCAGGAAAGAAGTTAATCAGTCTGTGGTTTGCTATTTCATACAATTTCAGCCATGTTTGCGTCAGTTTCTCTTTGTTTCTGCCATTTTTAGCGTACAGCATTCACACTGCATTTTCGCAGGACATGCAACTTTTTCTAGATTGGCAGAGCTACTACTGTTGATATTGGTCCATCAGTGGGAAGAGCTGACATCATGAAGTCCAAACACTGTAGTTTTATTTCCAGGTTCATCCTATCACCTGATGATGTCCCCTTGCGTTTAGTGCTTTAAGTAATCAATATAAAACAGCCATATAAATGAAATCTAACTAGAATGTTTACTATACAAATTAAAATTACTATACAAAACTATTTTATGTGTAAAACCATCCAAGTTCAAAGTTACAAATATCCCTGTTTATGTAATTAAAATAACATATTTATCTATTACATTTTTACATTTTACAGTTACGTTGAAGTATTTGTCATTGTTAAGACATAAGGGTGTAGCTTTTTTATAGCATTTATTGTTGTGCTCAGAGGCACTAGAATGAGTAACCCATTTTATCACCTTATTATATATATGTCAGTGTGAAATAAATGTACCTGACTTTATAATTCCTGATTCTAAAAGCCAAAAAAGAATAATAATACAGGGGGAAAAAAAGCTAATTACACATTTAAAAAAGAGCTGCCTGTTCGTACAGTTTCCTGCTGCCGCGGCTAATAGCTGTTGATTATTTTGAAAGTTTACTCAAGAAATATTTCTTTAAAGTAGGATAACAACATTTAATTCCCTATTTTGTTATTTGTTTTATTTTTTGACATAATTAATTTGTTAAACATGTTGAATGTTGTTTATGTTATCTCTTGGCGCATATCATTAATTAAAAATGTTATACCATGTTTCATTTTCAGCCTTTTATTGTCTGGATTGATTCATCTTCCAGTAATTAGCATTTGTGCTTTTAGTAGTTATTTATGCCATTGTGCTGCTCTTCCTGTGCATATCTAACCTGACTCCGCCAGATGGATTTGCTCCGCATATCCATCTGGAAACCTTCCGTTGAAGTAATTTTAGGAAGGGGCGAAAATACTGGTTAGCTGATTGGCCTATGTTGGTGATAGACGGGCCAAATAAACCAATCAGATCAACGAAGCATATGACGTACTAACAGGGCGACGACAAAAACACAACCACAAGCCAGGCTACTCTTGCCAAAACCAGTCGGGAGAAGAGCAAAAACATCTTTTCCTCTGAGGAAAGCCTCCAGAACTGTGTTTTGCTTTTCTTTCAGTGAAGAAATACTCTGTAATTCCGATAAAACTTGCTCGATAGCCACGCTAACGCTAGTTTCATCGGCTGAAGCCGCCATGTTCTTTAGACTGAACTGTCTCGCTTCTCGTTGCGTCACACCTCAACCCGCCTCAAAGCCAACGCTGATTGGACGTTCGTTTGGTGAACGGCTCCAAATTTTCCTTGAAAGCTCGCGAGATCAGGATGGTCTCACGAGGCTAGTGCATATCAACCTCAGAAAAAATAAAATACATCTTAAGGATGACTTGAGATGGTAAAAGGTCATTGGTCACAAAGGAGCAAGTCCCTATACTAAATAGCCTGAAAAGCCACTCTGTTAAGAAGAAGCCATAACTCCTTAAAAAATATATTAGGCACCTGATTTCATGGTAGATTAAACTTCTTCTAAACAATATTTCCTTTGTCTAATTCAATTAATACAGAGTTGATATGCAACCATACTCACTGTTACATTTGGAGGTAAAAGGGACGACTTACAAGTTGTTTGGATGTGGAAGGGACTGGTGCAATGTACAACATAAATGCAACATGACAGAAGTTTACTAAGTGTAATATTAAACCAAGGTCTTAAGCCAATAAGTGATATTTTGGGCACATATGGGTTCCTCCAAATGGACAGTGAAGCTACTGATATGAATCAAGATTCAAGGAAAATAGAGTCAGTGCCTTAGAGAGGCCTTTACAAAGCCTTTGAGCTTTGGTGAAGGATCGCCAGAATGTCTGATGAATTTACTGATGCTAAGTTAAACATAAATTTGATTCTAAGAAATTATAAAAGAAAAAAGTCGTCACAGATATTTTCACAGAGAATCAATCCACAGTGATAACAACATCTTCTAAAAGGGGAAACTCTGAGACAGAACTGAACTGTTATTCTAAGCAAAGAAAAGAAAAGGTTACAGAAATAAGTGCCACATGACAAAGAGCATCGTGAACACATTAGATTTATATAACCTTGGTTACACTTCCTCATACGACATATGTATATTATTGCTTAACCTACTGGGTCTTATCTGACAGGGAGCGTAATCAGCGAGTGCCTAATCTAGGTGCGCTGTGGCTTCGGAAAAAACCTAGGAAAAATTATACGTAATTAATATAGAAGTATACATGTCTATCATATTTAACAACCTGAGTCGTTCAAGTTTGAACAAGTACTTTTTTTATATATGATAAAGATTATTTCCAACAGATTATTTGAAAATATATATTTCTGTCAAAAAAAATCCATGAAATGATGATCCAAGCAGGAGTCAGTATCTGCCTGCTACTGATGCTGTCAGCTATATATCAGCTATACTGTGTGTTAAGAGAGAAATTCATTCATTGGGGTCAAGTAGGAGAGTCCCAGAAAAGATACCGAAAGGAGCTTTATCAATTCTGGCAGAGAAAAAATGAGATAGGATGGTGAAATGATGTACAGAATACTAACTTGTCTTTAGCCTAACTATTATTTAAACCTTTACAAAAGTAACTGTAAAAGATGCTTTCTGTTGTTATTTGCATTTATTTTTACTTGAATTGCACAGGATAAATATAAACAATATGTGGAAAGTTTTACTTATACCAATGTGATTTTCAAGGTAGATTCCAGCTGGCAGTGAAAATCCTTCAGGGCTTCACAAAGGAGACAACATTGTTGCTTTGCATGAAGTACAGACGATCCTTGAGGGTTTTCAAAGGCAGGCCAATGTAGAGGCCATGGATAACTTTGGGGTGGGAATTAGTAATTTAGTTAGAATTTTTTTTTCTTTTTTTGCAAAACGAGAGAGTTGTGCACAGAGGACTTTCAAAATATATAGATACACAAAACAGTTCAGGGTCAATCTACACTAATCACACTATACTAACAGGAAATAAACAAGTATAATATCTGTATTTTCCAAATAAATCACTGAAGAACATCAGATTTTCCTAAACCCTTACTAATAATTACACATATATAATGTCTTAATCAAAGGTAGGGTGGATGGACTTCTTTCAAGTCCTCAGGGGGAATTTCTTATCTACGGGTTGTCTCTCATGACAGCCTTTGTAAAGTGCTTTCCTTGCACCAACATGTGTTCTTGCTGTGCATGGTTGTAGCTCCACGCCTCTCACTATATACTTTGAAAATGGTTAAGAGTCGCATGAAAAAAAAAAATTCGTACAATTTTAAAATGAAAATGAAGGTCTTAGAAGGAGGAAATCAATCTAGAGAGTATTGGGGAGATTCTCTCACATGATGGCGGTAGCTGGTAGGATTGCCTTATAAATGTGCAGTTTCTCCAAAAGTGACTTGGGTATTTCTTAAGTAAATTTAGTTAAATATGGAAGTTTGGTCCCCCTGAAGGCAGCTGCGCCTCAGAACTTCCCTACCGGTTCTTTTCCTGGGAGCAAGTTATTTACTACTCTTAACTCAAACTGGGTAAAACCATATAAAAAGGACTATAAAACAGAAGTAAAAAAGTAACAGCATTTATTCCAGGTCAGGTTGTTACAGTACAGAGAAATTG